TTGAGTATCATCCGCATAACAGTGGAAATGTACAGAATGATTCCTTATAATATTGCCTAGCGGAAGCATATATAGTGTGAACAAAATAGGTCAAAAAAATAAAGCCCACAAACTAATTGAGAGGATCAGCTTCTGAAATAAGATTTGACCTGCAACTTAGGCGGAATTCTCTGTGTCTGCACCAGTAAGATAACCTCAAAACACTCTAGCACAACTTGGCATTCATTTTGAATGATAGACTTTTGCTTGTACAGGATATTTCTACATTGTGATTTTACTAGTACTGACTGATTTACCTAAGTAAAAATATATGAGTACTAATTCCGTCTCTGTTCAATAAGGATAAAATGAGTAAACTGACATAACATAATTATAGTATAGGGCTACTGTAAATAGCTGTGTGTATATGTTGGTAAAGTAGCATCAAGGGTAAGTGTATCAGTGTATGTAAAAACAATAGACTGTATGAGGGTAAATGTATGCAATATCAGTGGCTATTTTATATTATAAATGCCATTTAATGCTTACCAAGTGTTCTCATGTTAAACCGCTGTGTGTTTTGGACCTCTTTGTCTTAGTGGGCGTGAATGTTTGCGCGTGAACCACTGTTGACGGTATGGTATGAGAGAGAGTTAATGCAGGCAGACAGGCAAACAAAGCAGACAGACAGACAGACATACAGACAGGCAGGCAGGCAGATAGACAGTCAGGCAGATAGACAGTCAGTCAGGCAGACAGACAGACAGACAGGCAGGTCCTAACGTCACAGTCAGGGCTGGGCTGGGGCTCGTTCAGGGGTTGGGACTGAGCAGACCGCTCCCCAGAGTTGCAGTGGAAGCTACGGGAGACGCGGGCGGAGGCATGGAAATCCATGCATGGCTCTGTCTCCTTTCATAGTAACCATATCGAAAAGCGTAAGGATATCTATTGAACTCTTCGATTGCAATGAAACACATTGTGTAAGCACAACGCACAGAAGAGGAGGCATTTGACGTTTACTGGTAAGCGAGCTTTATATTCCAGCCAGCGTTAGAAAGTGCAACGTTAGCTAGCGAGCTAACCTGCTTGACGCTATGATACAGCAGATAAGCCAACCTAATACTGGCCAAAATAGCTTCCACAAATGCTGGGCTTTTAGACAGGTATGCACAGCGCTATGACTTTATAATAAGCCACCTGTCATACCTTTTATATAAGGGTGTTACGTGTATGCTTTGGTGTTTTATGCTTTGCTAGCTGAGTGACGTGAGGAAAGTTAGCTAACGTTAGCTAACATAAACAGTAGCGCAAATTGACAGTCGGTGCACAAACAACTGCCAACAATATTGCATCAAAGGTTTGTCCCAAGAGCTTGTGAGTCTAATGCAAACGTTACTGGTTTGATGCCATTTCTGAAATGTTAGCCAGTGTCCAGTATTGTCAGCGATTTGTTAAACAGATTACCACAACAGGAATCCTGGGTTTCTAATCTGACACAACAAGCAGGCTAACAACCTTCTACCACTTAGAAGCCTGCTGCTGTGTCATGGTTACTTAGGTGTCTAATGTTGTCTTCAGGTGCTAAGCTAGTAACGTGCTAACAACCTCTGCTTAAACTATAATTACATTATTGTTAGCATGGGCCGTTTCTGCAGATGACTTGTCCTGTTCAGTTAGCTAGCTAGATGCTAACCGCCTATAATAACACTGGCGACCTAAACAACTGCAGTGTTGACTGTAACCTCAGTGGGTCTGTCAACATGGTGAAGGGGTGTGTGAAGAAAAGTACTCACCTTCAATAAGCTTAAGCAAAAACAGACACCAAGAATGGTAGCAAGCAGAACAATGTCAATGATAAACACATTTGTTTATACAACAGGAGGGTGGATTAACAGCAGCCCAGGCTGTAGTCAGAACTGGATGAATCTTTTAGACCCAGAACTATGGGCATTGTAGCAATACTCTGTGGTCAAACGTTTTTCTTTAAATAAAAGTACACAAGTATAAGCAGCAAAATAATAGCCGCAGTTAAAATAATCATAAAGAGAGAAATTATACTTTAGTACAGTACATGACTCTCAGTTACCTCCCATCACTGGTTGTAGTGAACATTTAAAAGCAGTTCATCTCTTGAATTTAAGCTATTATGGATTAGTAAATATGACTTTAAAGAAAAAAATAGCTGCATTTTTATCCACTTCATTATGTGGTTCTATAGGTTACATACTGGCTTTGGATATGGAAATAAATGCTCCCCTGGCCTGTCCTATGGGCCTGACCTTCTGGAATGAATGCTGTGATCAGGTCACTTTCTGAGTCTTTTGTTAATGGCCCACTTGGTCATAACAATGTTGTAGGGTTTTGTGTGCTCTCACCTGGTATGTTGCTGATACTGATTTCTCCACCCTGCACAGTATGTCAAATAAGAATCATCAAACGTCTTCGAGTCTGGAATTACATTTTGTATTTCACCTTACAGGATATGGCCAGACTGATAGTCGGCACGCGGCAGTTGTTTGTTATGGCAGAATCCTTCTCTTGTCCATACACTTATGCAGTTGCTTCCACAGTAATTCATTTAATGTCCACAAGTCATACTAAATCAATGCAGATGCTGTGTTTTGAATGGGATTAATGTAAGGCCGTAAATAATATATATTTAGGTTATATTGAATGGATTTATGAGCGATTGTCTCTATGATTGGTTTAAGTGGAAGTGCATTTGATTTAATATTCAGTTTGGTTAATGAAAACTGATGTATGATATAAATCAGAGAATAGCAGGACATCCTTATACTTGAGGTGGCATAACAGCATTTTTGCATGAACAACTAACTATTCATCGATTATCTAAAACAGTTACAAATTATTTTTCTATCGAACCACTAATGGATTAGTTGACCTATTGTTACAGCTCTACACTACAGTGAACTTCCCAACCTTGCTCATCAGCCTTATTGTCCTCTGGCTCTAAAACATTCTATAGATTTATAGATCATAGATTTTGGCTGCAATCCTGGATAAAAACATTCCCGGTAAATGCTTATTGCTGCTGAATCCTCATGCATGAAATGCTTGGTTGCTGGGATAGATTATTGGTAACACCTCAATCCCTCCCATACACACAGGCTGGATCTGAACCTTGTTCAGTTGAGTTTACTGATTACTTATCACCCTTTTACTCAAAGGGTATTCATCATATTTCTTCACAAGAGAGTAGTAGTCGAAGTTCTAATATAAATGCATTTTGATATGATATTGGCCTTCATATGACCCACACAGCACATATCAAGATTAAATCAAAAACAGTACGGTTGGCTACAGAAAACCGGTTCTTGGTTGCACCTAGTGCCTTTTTTTGCCAATTATTGATTATTTAAAGCAAAGTTTGGAAACTCTCTGACCTGTTATACACAGTTCAACATGTGTGTAGTGCTTACAATATGGCCGACTAGATTAAGTCCTCAAAAGTATTGCTCAACATTTTGCAACATTTATGATACAATGATTAAATACTTTAAATTAGCATGATAAAGTATTTAAAACCTTAATTTACCAGGGTAGTTTCACTGAGAGCAGGGCTTTTTTTTCAAAACACACTCATTTACTCTATATGGTATGGTATGGTGTACAATCTAAGTTTTTCAGTCAACAGACAATTCTATTCTATTGGGCAAATATTTATAATCTACATTTCCTGTTTGATATATAATGGGTCTCATTTGCCTCATATGCTTTAATGGGTCCATTTTAAAAATAACTTTTGTTTCATAATCTTGTTTCTTATGATTATGCAATTAAGTAGCAGTCTTAAAGAGGACATTGTGCTAATTTTCAGGTTCATATTTCTATTTAGTGCTTCTACTGTGACATGTCTCCATGCTTTAATGTTCAAAAAGCTCTTTGTTTTTCTCATACTGCCTGTGCTGCAGCACCTCTTTTCACCCTCTGTCTGAAACCAGAGCCCAGTCTGCTCTGATTGGTTAGCTGGCCGGCTCTTCTGTAATTGGTCAACAGCTTAGCGATGTCCCGCCCCTTAGCCTTAGCCTGTCACATACAATGTGTTTGAGCGCTAGCCTATAGTAGCGTGAGTGTTACATAGTGGAGAGTATTTGGCCCTTAGAAAATAAAGCATATGAAAATGTGATATTGACATGTTGTATGATGCTTTCAGGACTGATGGCTCCAGAGTGACATGCCATGGCTTTAATGATCCCCCCGGTGAAGCTCAAATGGCTGGAGCACCTAAACAGCTCATGGATCACGGAGGACAGCGAGTCCATCTCGACACGGGAGGGAGTCTCGGTGCTCTACTCAAAGCTGCTAGCTAACAAAGAGGCTGTGCTGCTGCCCCAGCAGGTGCTGTGTCTGAAAGGACCCCAGCTTCCAGACTTTGAGCGCGAGTCCCTCTCCAGCGATGAGCAGGAACACTACCTTGATGCTCTCCTCAGCAGCCAGCTGGCCTTGGCCAAGATGGTCTGCTCTGACTCTCCCTTTGCCGCAGCCCTGCGCAAACGTGTGCTGGTGCTTCAGCGCATCTTCTATGCACTTTCCAACAAGTACCACGACAAGGGAAAAGTCAAGCAGCAGCAGCACTCTACAGAAAACAACTCGGGCTCAGCGGATCTGCACTCGGTCAGCGAGAGGCCGCGTTCCAGCACTGACGCCCTCATCGAGATGGGCGTTCGTACCGGCCTCAGCCTTCTTTTCGCTCTTCTGCGCCAGAGCTGGATGATGCCTCCTCCACCCAGCCCTGGTGGAGGTCCCGGGGGCAACATAAACTTGTGTAATGATGTCATTCACACAGCCATTGATGTGGTCAGCTCCCTGCCACCCCTCTCTCTGGCCAACGAGAGCAAGATCCCACCAATGGGGCTGGACTGCCTGGCCCAGGTCACCACATTTCTGAAGGGGGTGACCATGCAAAACTCTGGGGCGGATATTCTAGGGCGGCGGCTGGCCTCAGAGCTGCTGCTAGGGCTGGCCTCCCAGAGGGGCTCCCTGCGCTACCTGCTGGAGTGGATCGAGATGGCCCTGGCTGCATCAGCCGTGGTCAGCGCTATGGAGGAGAGTAAGGGGCTGCAAAACCAAGAAGGGCTTATTGGCTACGATTGCTTCATGAACATCCTCATGCAGATGAGACGCTCTTTGGTAAGTAAACATTGACAAAACTGTCGGATTGGATGTTTATTTGAATATGCTTTTTATTGATCAGAGCTGTCAAATTGCTTAAAAATGCCATGCCCTTGTCTGTTCAACCTAATTTTTCTTGTCCCTATTAATAGCTCTTGATGACTTCATGTAGTGAATCTGTATTCTCTTTATTGTGCACATATTATGTGGTTAGGAATGATGCATGAAAATATTTATTTGAAGTTGATCAGAGAAGCCAAAATTGTCATTTAAATGAATTCTTACCAAAATAAATACTGAAATACTCCTATGGAGTATTATTATTGGTACAACATATTTTTCATTCAGCCTTCTTTTCTCTCGATAGAAAGCTCTGGAACAGTTAAAAACAAAAAAAGATAAGGATTCAATCACTAAAACATGTATTTATATATCTGTATGTTCAGTGGGATATCGGAAAGCATTTACTTGTAGTTGTTGATTTAAAGACGGGATATCCTTTTAAATTAATAACAAATACAGACTAGAAATAAATGATGTCATCAATTATATAATATTATATTTTATATAGTGTTTTCAAAGATTTTTGACATGTATAACATGACGTGGGTTGTTTGACTGCTACCAGATAATTGAATAAGTACAAAGTGAATTTGATGTCATGATTTCATTGATTTGTGTTTGTGTTTATCTCAGGGCTCCTCATCAGATCGCAGCCAGTGGAGAGAACCAACGCGGACGTCTGATGGCTTGTGCTCATTGTATGAAGCGGCACTCTGTCTTTTTGAAGAAGTAAGATATTAAGCAGTATTTTATTTTCAGGACTAGTTGTACCTAACACCTCAACATGCTTATTTATTAGGGATGCACCGAATATTCGGCCACCGAAAATTATCGGCCGAAAATGGTTAAAAGGCCCTTTCGGCTGAAAGTGTTTTAGCACCGAAAAAATATCACCGAATGTTAGAGAACAGGGTTACGTTGATCATACTCCGCATATTTGTCCGGGTGTTTTGATTTCAAGTGGTGGAGTAATCCCGAAGTGGTGAAAGTCTTTGCAGTTACACCCCCTCGAGAAATGTCAGCTGAACACGTTTTACAAATCGCAATCCGCGCCTCTTTCTCTGATATTTTGAAATATCTCCAAGCGGCAGACATGTTGGCTGTGAGCCAGCCGCGAGCATGGTCGCGCGCCGTGCTTGTCGCCGCGTTTTGATTACGTCATCACAACAACACGTTAGGTTACCAAACTTATAGGTGCATTTGTTGTTGTTGAAGGCCTGGCTGTTACAGTCTTTATTTACACTATTTTGTTGTAGGCCTACTGGCCTAGATGTTTATGCAGTTTTAAAGCACCTTGGCTTTGTTCTGAATGCACTTTGTTGTAGTTATCCTACAGAGAAAAGAAAATGCACTTGACTTGGAATTAATGTACTGTATGCATTCAAAAGTGCTGA